TGGTGAAACCTCAGAAACATGCTGTCCAACCGCACCGATTAACGGTCAGTCCAACTTGGTGAAGCTTGTCTTCAACTGGTAGGACACATTCAAGCTCCCCTAAGTTTGCATGAGGGACAAGTCTTCCAATCACTCCTGCACTGCACCCCGTCCCCCTTCCCACCCCCTGATCTCATGCCCACTCTTATCTCTGTCAAAATGTTCATCTTTATTTTGGTTGCCAAATCCAAGCACCTGCACTCTTATTAGGTAAGCTTTAACATTTACATTTGTAGTTGGTGTTTTCATTATCCCTTCAATTTCTTTTTATCAGTGCATTTTTTTTTCTTTCTTACTGTGTCATCCAGTGGTCAGGAGGCCCCTTCCCCCATATGGTTTTTCAGCACCATAATTTTCAATAGCTTAGCATAATTATGGCCTAGTGCAACAGGAATTCCTATAATAGGAATATATTGTATATAAAGGAATTCCAGTTGTGCTAGGCCATAGTACGTGTGTGTGTGTAATTACACACACACAATATTATATATTTTACTAAGTCTATAAAAAGTGTGCATCTGCACTGTTATCTGAAGCTCATACACACATTCTGCATTCTTCCCAGGAAATGGAACTGAATTATATTAGGGCATCACATGGCAAGGTTTTCTGCTTGACTGATGCAGAGCCCTGCTGCCACACAGCATTGAAAAAGGTAATTTTTTTGTGTAGTCAAGAAAAATGGGACTTACCAGTGAGAAACATTTTCCTGAGCTGGGCTGAAGACAAGAGATCTGCATCCTAAAGCAAGGAAGGATCAGGTAAAGCTTTTCCTGGGAGAGGCATCCTTCTTCCCAAAACCTGGTAAAACAGCTTTAGCTAGTCACAAGAGTATTAACCTTCAGGAGAGAAAGCCAAGACAGTAATACTGTTGTGTGTAAGAGCCTGTGAGGATTGAACTGGCTTGGCTCACCATAGGCCAAAGTTTTAATGCCAAAAACAGCACACAGGCAACCCCCGCTTAACGCTGTTTCACTTAGCACTATTTTACTACAAAGCTCATTTTATATTGATACCTGATTTCACTTAGCGCTCAGCGAGTTTCATTATAGCGCTCGCGGTCACCATCTTGGGTCATTAAAAACAACTGCAGTCACCATCTTGGGTCACCATATACTTTTGGTTTCGCTTAACGCTCATTTCGCTTAATGCTGAGTTTTTCAGGAACCAATTAAGAGCACTAAGCGGGAGTTGCCTGCATGTGTTCTTACTATTGAGGCAGCCACACCTGCAGGTCAGTTTTCACCTAGCCACTTTAGGTCTGCCTGCCAGAAAAGGGGTTTGTTATCTTCTACGGCATGCCAGGCTGAGAGGAAAGAAAGCTTCCACATAGGCCGCAAATAACCTTACCCAAGCATTGATGAAGACAAAGTCCATGGCTACTAGGTAGAGAACAAAGGCAATAGGATGGCAAGAGTCCATGTATGGAAGCCCTTATAATTTAGCATATCCACTAGCAAACCTGGTTCCTGTCCTAGAAGCAACCATTTCCTAACGTGGCACAGAAGCATTAGACGCACAGAAGTGTTCCCTACTACAATATCATGGTACTATTGCTGTAGAAAAGATAAGACCATGTTTCTCTAGAAGAGTTCAATTACCAGGCCACAGTCCACTGCTGGGCCATGGTGGGTCGGCTACCAGGCCAGGAGTGGCCACAGACCAGCAAACTGTGGCCCCCCAGTGCCAGGGGGAGACGCCATGGCTCCTTTTACAGGGTCCATGGCAGCACAGGGTTTGGCCCAAATCCCAGCCCAGGGGGCGGGGGTATCCTTACCTGTCTGCCAGCCAGAAATTCCAGGCATGGTCGGCTGCAGCCACTTCCAGGCAGCAGTTTTGCCAGGCTGGGGCATAAAAGGTTTGAGAGCCCCTGCTCTAGGAGATTCTCTCTGCCTTGGCTTAGCTTCCCTTTTCCATACCCAAAACTAGTCTTAATTTTTTACCTCCAAGTCATATGCAACCAGCTTAAACCTTTTATTTTTTCTAGCAGCACAGCCTCATTCAGGCTTTGTAAGCAGAGTCTTTGTAAGTAGGGAGTCTAGAAGTGTGGCACACACAACTCAGTAAAGCCCTTACCTCACTGTGTTTTAAAATAGGGGTGCACTGATAAAGAATACTTGTGCCGATACCAACAACTGATTATTAACAAGCCATATCAGCCAATACCAGTCCAATTGCCAATATATAGCCCAGCAGCTTGAAGAGTAGCATCGGGCTGGTAAGTCTGTTGGGTGTGGGGAAGTTAAGGGGTGTGGGAGGGCACAAATCAAGGCCTCTGTCATGAGGGAGGGAGTGGGACTGGGGCAGGGCAGAACTGCCAGCAGCTTGTCCAGGGAGTGTAGGGGGGCTCCTACCACTGTGTGTACCCCTGACAAAATATAGGGAGCATTTCTCCCAGATCTGTGTGGGGCAATGGTAGGCTGCAACTGCTGGCTGAAGTGGTACCAGGGGCTGGGCCAGGGCTGTGGGGGACACATGGCAGTACTGGGAAGGGAACTATAGGGTGGCTACAGTGAGTTCTGGGGTGGCCATAATCCCCCCTCCCACATAGATGGCACTGAGAGCAGGGCTACCTCAAATGCAGCTCTGGCCAAGCCCCCCTCCTAGGAAGAGCTTAGTGCCACCCCTAGCACACACAGAGGCAGCCTGCCTTTGTGCCCTCTGCAGATCCAGGGGGCATAACCCTTGTACCTCCCCCCAGGATGTGCAGTGGTAGGAGCCCCTCCCCCAAAGACAAGCTGCTCATGACTGCTGCCCCAGCCCACTCTTCCCCCTCAGAGCTACTAGCCTGAAGCTGCTCTCTCCAAGCTTCCAGGGTAGCTGCATACTATCACAGTAAATGTGGTGTGTATCAGCCACATCAGGCAAAAAAAAAAAAAAAAAAAAGCCAACTGCCAATAATGTCACTTTTTCCTTTTTTTGGTGCCAATACAGCATGGACCAATGTACTGGTGCACCTCTAGCTTTCAACAATGCTTTAGTTTTCCCCACAGCTTAGAGAACTGCAGTAGTGAGAAGGTACAGGTAGTGAATTAGGAGCTATGCAGTAGGTAAGCTAGTTGAAATAACATTGTCTAGGCTGTTAGAAGCTCCTGAGTCCAAGAGATGTAGTCCAGTTCAGTTGCCTTTCAAAAACTAGGGAATAAAGGTCCATTTATTCCAAGTCAGGTATAAGTGTAGTACATACACCTATATTCACTGATCCAGGAAAAATATACATAGGGCCCACATGTAAGAGGAAAGACCAAATGATTTAAGCAATGGACTTAAAAGCTCGCTGGTACCAGAATTGCTTAGAGAACTGAATTTGGATAAATCTAAATATGAAGTTTACCACTGGTTGCAAAAAGCATTTGCTTTCTAAATAGTATTGTCAGGTACTATACTCCACCCCCCCCACACCCCTGAAAGATTTGAGTCTTCAAAAGATAGGGCCAGACAAGTTTGGGGGGGTTTTGGTTTTGCATGCATTTAAGCTTGTTGTGTGCAGTAGCTAGTTCATGGCCTTGCACTTTGTCCAAATGTTTCATGTTCAGCACAGCAGGTGCTTCCAAGTCTTATGCCAAGTATAGTGAGGCCACTCTTCTCATAAGTGCTGTGTAAGACAGGATACATATAGGCTTCATACTCTTTTCTCCTCCCTCCCCTGTCATGTTTGTGATGCCTTTTGAAGCATTAATTAATCCACATTTTAAGAGGTGGAGAGTAAAGTCTCACAAGGAAATTAATCTTCCAGGAAGTTTAGCAGGACAGAGCTTAAAAAATTTCAAAGCTAGTTAAGGCTTAAGTAAGAATGTGTTCAGAGAGCAGGTGCACAGTACTGAAGCATTTCCTCATATAGAGGACATCCTTTCCCCCACAGCCTCCATTTTAAAATTCTTCCCTCCCATGGCTAGTTAAGCCTCCACGGAGTCTTACTGTGGATAAGTTGAAAACAAAGAGACTATTAGAGTTGGGCAAAGTACAACAGTTAGCTTAGTTCTAGCTCAGTTTAAGTTGTTCCTGCAAATCTACCAAGCAGCTCACCACAAGATCAGTACAAGGAGTTTCTAGACCCAAACCCCTACCTGCCCAGAGTTCAAAGAGCCAGCTTCCACAAGACTTGCAGAGGAGCTAAAGTGCTTCTTACATACCACAAGAATGCCTAGTCACCCACCTCACAGGCTTATATAAAATCTTGCTATATGCTCAAGTGTTGCTCCAGCTGAGGAGACCCCCTACAATTTTAAGTATCAAAGAACCATGTTGTGCCTGTACCAGAGATCCAATTGTAAATACACGCCCCACTTCAGTATTTGGTCTTCACCCTTAGCTCCAATCCACAAAATCCACTAGGTAACAAAATGTGCTCCATTTTAATCTAGAGCACCTACAAAGTATAAAGGCAATAGGTGTACATGTGCCACTAGCTGCTACACCTGCCAAATTTCTGTAGTTTCCAAGGCTGGTCAAGATTTTGATTTCCTTCGAAAAAGGAAATAAAAAGGAACATGTAAGCTGTACTTCTATAGATGGTTTCCAAGTAAGGCAGGGGAGGAAACAGGATTTGAGAATGGTAACAGCGAAATACACACTATAAGAATTCCCACTTTGGCACAAAAGAGAGTAGTGAATGTAAGCCAGTGTGGTAGGAGCAGGAAAAAGTCAGCCATCTGAAATCCATTTGAAAAATTTCTTTTAGCATTGAAAAAAGGGGGGAGGTTTAAGCCACATTCACATGCTGCTTTTGCTCAAGTTTCTCACATTTCTGCAGGACACTGACTTTGCACACAAACTGTCCAGCTTGCATCTTAGTCCATACATGACACCTTGCTTCTGAAGCTGCTCAGAGAGCACTCAATTGGATATTCCACCTGACAAAACATCTAGGGGAGAACAATGAGTCAAACACTAGGTTCTCCTTAGAAATTTGCTCCTCACCAAGAAAAAAAAAGTAGAGTCAAGACTAAGACCACTCAGTGGACATTGCAGTTTTACATTTATAATTGAACTTTTATAATATTCATGATTAGCACAAGATTCATAACCATAAATTATACATTGTTATCTATTTCAGTACATAAAACGTTAATGATACATGTATTTGGAGAGTGGCACAAGTTAATAATACATCCCTGTTGGCATTCTCAAAACAAAGTGTGCGCGCATGTGGGGTGGACATGCCAGTTATATTACTGCAGCATAGCAAAACCAAGAGTCATTGAGTACTGTCAGTTCAGATAGCACCCCATGCAGAGTCAGGAGTCAGAATCCATGTGACAAGGTGTGGCAGGAAGACAACCCTAGAATCAGAATTAAAAAAAAAAAAAAGGTGCAAGACCAGGATTACGTCCTTCCCCATTACTTCAAAAATATGTTTTTAGCAATAATGTCCCTCCCCCCATCCCACCACTGTGCTCTTTGAATCTTCATTACCTTTGCATATACTCTAGTACTTTGGCAGCCCATGCACACACGCGCACACTCCTGCTATTTTCCATTTGCCATACATATAGCTGAGGTTTCCTTTTGTACCATTTAACGTCAATAAGTAACATGCTCTCCTGTCATTAGGCAAAACAGCTTCTGGGAAGCGTTTACTCTGGTACAGATTTATTCTGTTTAGTCAAAGTCTCAAGACCTACTCCAAAAGAACAAACCTATTCTGCACCCGACAATTTAGCAAGAAGAACTTTTCCCAGTATTTGTCTACATTTCCAAGCCATCTTAAATATTAGAAATTTTTTTTTTTTTTTTTTGCACACAGCATGGCAAAACAGAACGGGGCAGTCAGGTTTAGACAAAATTTCTAGCAGTCTCTCAGCAAGAAGATGCCAAGTTGAATTCAAACATCCTGGCTACTCAATAAGTAGCTTTGAATTAAAGCTTTAACGACTTGGTGCCAGGCAACTGCCAGCAATGGGCTTCACAACAAGGAAAATGTGCTCCTACTTCTCCCTGGCCTCAAGCAGTTATTGCTATGCATTGAGTTTTAGTGAAGTAGTGCCTTGACTTCAGACAGTCTTGCAATGTAGTTAACTAAAGCTGCCTTTCAGAGGTTGAAATGTAACCGGACAATAGCAATAAATAACAGCAACAGGCATCCTCTGGAAGACTCGTCACCGAGCAGGGCAGCAAAAAAAGTAGCGTTTGGCCAGAGGATCATCTGTGCCTTTAGGACCATCATATGCTTCCTGGAGAAAAAAAGTCAGAGGGACGGGAAGGGAGAGAACCCAGCGAAGGTCTGTCAGAGAACTAGTTACATATTGAAGCCGTAAACAGGTGGCTGAGTGAATCCTGGTGCTGTGTATCCATAAGGGAAGTTTGCCTGGGGAGGTACTGCATTTGGCCCTGCTGTTAGCATCAGCTGCTGGCCTGATGGAGGGAAGAAAAATAGGAGTATATTAGTTTGAAAAAACAAACAAAAACAACCCTACACAAAATATTTGCTAGTCCCTGCAATACTGTTCTATAAAGGAGTGAAGATGCGATGATTCTGCCTCCTCAAAAAAAGGAGACAAGCTATTTGGAAGAGTTAGCCAGACCCAAAAACCCTACACAGGAGGATTGAGTCTTTGCCATTCAGTCTGCTCTGCACCGTGAAGAGGCAAATACATGCTAAAAAAA